AACAAAAACATTATCCTAAGCCCAGCTTAATTGTATCACTATACCTACACAGCTAAAGTTCTATAATTCATTTTTTGAAGCTTATATTGCACTCAAGCTCTGGTAGCGTAGTGGTTACGAATCGGGCTGGGAACCTTAAGGCCAGCAGTTTGAAACTACCAGCTGCTCCGCAGGAGAAAGATGAGGCGTTCTGCTCCCATAAAGATTGATAGCCTCGGAAACCCTGTACAGGGTCGCTATGGGTCAGAACTGACTCAATGGCACTTAACAACAACAACATTGCACTCGACAAGAGTTGTCATTGTTTTCCTATAACAAGGACACTTTGACCCACATGGGCTTTGTCTACATATACTATAAGCACACGCTGTTTTCTTTGTTGCTGGTGTTTTATAATCACTGATTTTGTAAAATTTTCTAGTGTTTTAACTATATTATTGTGGTAATTAATATTTGAGAAGCTATAGTGATATCCTTTTTTTTTCTTTTAGTTTTTTCAGAGGTTGCTCTTCTTTGATTGTGAAGCAGACATAGGGCACAACATCACAAGGTAAAGAACTACATGTTACCTATTGGCTGGATTAAGGGCAATAACAGGCAGAATTAGGTTCACCTCTTGACCAAGCCGAAACCCAGCATTATGGCGCTGAGAGCAGCAGAGGCCCAACCCTTCACACTGTGGTCACCAGCCTTTCCCAGGAAGCTCAGCGGGGCCACGGTAACATCTGCTTCTGCTGACAAATTCCTGCATTTGTCAGAAGTAGATTTCTGCCACTGGCTAATGGACAGCTGGCCTATGGTGGGCAGCTGCCTGGAAAGGCCTCGTATGCCAGCGTTACCCTTGTTACAGCATCCACAGATGTCATTAGTGTCTTCTACTGGGAACTAGCTATTGGAAGACTTGTGGAAGGAACAGACTTTGTTTAGCTGGTCTAGAACTTGGATGGCTGGAAAGACCCTGAAATGGCAGGCGGAATACATCATATTTCTAGAGTTATCAGCAAAGTGGAACATATCCACAATGAACTGTACAATATCTGGCCTAGGTCTGGGGCTTCTGAATACTGATGATGCTAGAGCTATACAATTTTTAATTTCTGTATTACTTAAATAAAACAAAGTAATAAATCTAATGTTATATTTAGAAGTACAGATAAATTTCCGATGAATCAGTGGAAGGAATCTATAAAATATAGGGTTTTGTTTCCTCATTACTTAGAAACTTAGGATTTAGGTAACATTTCTAGAGTTCAAGGTTCATTTTGTCATTCTAAAATGTATCTCAATAAAAAAAGAACCAATCTAAAATAATGAAAGAGTGATATTTATTTAAAAATCTAGATAATAGAACGAAATAGTAAAAGGAGAATAACATCATAGTGTTTTCCCTGTTAACATTTTAAGAAACTAAAGGCCAGCTATATTTTAACCCACGTTCACTATCATCTACTATCTACTATTAAAAGTATCTGCAGAAAGCTTACATTACAATGCTCTTAGGCACAGAATCAGAAGAATTACCCAAGCTTAGCAACTTTGACAGATATACTGGTAAATGTATACAGCATATAGAATACAAACATTAAACCAAGAAATGAAAGAATAAGATACTTAAATGAATTCAGTACATAGCACATCACACCAGAATTGAATATAATATTTCAAAATAGGCAACACATTTATACATTTAAAATTATGTCAGCAATTGCAAAAATAAAACCTAAATTACAGATATTGTCTATGTCATGTGAGCCATATAATTCCTTTGTCATGTCATATAATAGTATGCCATACTGTTGGCATAACATGATTTAAACAATAAAATTCTGTTGGGCAGCTGTACAACAAATAGTGAAATGTATTTCTATAAGAAAATCTGAAATATTTAATCCAGTATTTTAATTTATATAAAATATTCAAAATGTATTTTTATTGTATATTTCTCAGATATCTGTGAATCAAAACTTAAAAACAAATGAAATTATGACAACTTATAAATGTTCCCACTCTAAATATTTTAATAAATAAGTTATACTACTTAATTTACTAAGGAGCTCTGGTAGCATAGTGGTTATGAGTTGGGCTGCTAACCTCAAGGTCTGCAGTTCGAAACTACCAGCCGTTCCGTGGGAGAAAGATGAGGCTTTCTGCTCCCATAAAGATTTACAGCTTCAGAAACCCTGTACAGGGTTGCTAGGAGTTGGAATCGACTACACAGCACACCATCACCGCTGTCACTTAATTGACTACAAAGGTAGTAATCGTTGTTGGTGTTGTTAAATGCTGTTGAATCAATTCTGATTCACAGTGACCCTGAATCGGGATTCCGTGGCTTTAAGTCTTTGTTGGAGCAGAAAGCTTCATCTTTCTCCTGCAGAATGGCTGGTTTGCTGGAACTATCAACCTTGCGGTTAACAGTCCAGTGCTTAATCTATGGAGTCACTGTATTCCACATTAATCATCATTGTTACTGCTTGCTGTTGGTAAGTGCCGTCAAGTCAATTCCAACCCCTAGCGATGCTGTACAGGGTTTCCGAGGAGCAGCTGGTGAGCTTGAACCGCCAACCTTGCTGTTCAAATGGCTTTGCAGTCTGGTGCATTAACTGACAGCGCCACAAGTTACTGCTAAGTGCCATCAAATCAATTCTGACTCATAGCTACCCTGTATAGGGTTTTTGAGGAGCAGCTGGTGGGTTTGAACCGCAGACCTTTGTGGTTAGCAGCCTAGTGCTTACTCTTCCAATAAATGGTACACATCAAAAGATGCTTGATGTTTCCGGGTGTGGTATTGTGGGTTAATGGGCTGGACTGCAAAATCGTTTTTAACTACAAGGTTGGTGGTTCAAGCTCACCAGTCACTCCTCCGAAACCCTATACAGGGTCACTATGGATTGGAATAGAAACAACAGCACTTAACAACAACACCAGGATAAGCACTAGACTAGAAGGTCGCTATGAGTTGAAATTGACTAGAAGACACTTAACAATAACAAATGTTTCTCAGAGTCTGTTTCTATATGATGTTCTATAAACTAATTTATTTGAAGATGGAGAAGTAGAGAAAATAAGGTAAAATTTTCCTCTTAGAAAGTGGTATTGATTTCAATGTCAGAAAATATTTGGATTCAGGAATAACAATTTTTTGTAATGGTGTATGATAAAGATATTTTTGTGGTATTTTAAGCTCATCTAGGGTGTTCAAGACAAATACACAAAGCAGGCAATTTAGCTAGCAATATAATTTACAATTTAATGATATAGAAATTTATTAACTATATTTCAGTTTCCAACAATTTAGAAGTATGTTTTTATAAAGACAGTGGTGTAGTTTAATTTTAGTTTTTTAAGTATTCAAGGTATGTTGTTGTTGTTAAGTGCCGTTGAGTTGGTTCTGACCCATAGCGACCTTGTATAGGGTTTTGAAGGAGCAACTTGTGAGCTTGAACCACTAACCTAATAGTTCAAATAGCTTTGCAGTTTGGCGCATTAACCCACAATGCCACACCAGGACTCCATTCAAGGTATATACCATAGAAATATCTAACCTAATCCTGTCTAATCTATAGGAAAGTTAACAGTGCTAGAATCTCTGGTTCAGAAAGCTCCTGTTTGTTGTCTATCAATTTCCATTAAGAAAAAGAATTACTTAATGAGAATGTGTTGCTTTCATATCTAAATAAACAAGAAAATAAAATTTCATTCCATTTTAACAATCACTTATTAAGACTTCTTAGAGTGTGTTTGTGCACATGAGTTAATGTATTTGTGTATCCCTTTGCTATTGTCCTTGCTTTTTGCATTCTATACAATGTCTTGCTCTAAGATGTGTCAACATCCTGCAAAAGCAGCACTCTGCATGCTGTACCATAGGAACTGTTATGACATGCCTGTTTCCATAGTTACCACAGCAAGTGGGAAGAGGTGTCTGTCAGGGACCAATTTATCTCTCCAGACGGGCATTGCCACCAAAGGGAAGACATGATGCCCACAGATCTTAGCTAAAACTAAAAACGGAGCAAGAATGAGCAAAATAAAATTATACTAAATAGCAAGGTCCATCACAAACTGAAATACACATGAAAAGCCATTAGTAAATACACGTCTCTGCTTCACCACACACACGACCTACTATTAGACTGATGATCAAAACAAATTTAAGGTCATTTCTTTTGCGATGAAGAATATGCTAAATATAGCAGTAAAGTTTATAATATTTAAAAAAATTTATGAATTAAGAGCATACATAGCTGATAATGCACTATATGAGATTTTGGGTTTTTACTTCTTTGTCTTCTTTAATAATAATAATGGTGCTATGGAAGAAAATCTGTTAAAGTAATATAAATGTAATACAAATCTTTTAGCAGCTAAAGCAATTAAAATCACTGAGGGAGAATTCTAAAAGCTATAATATTTAGAAATAAAATGTCCCTCATTTTGTTTAAGTTAAACTAACTGTAACATCTTTAATAGTGGAAATTCAAAGGAAGTTTTCAAAAATAGAGCCACAGAGAAATATTTGTTATAAAACATTTTAACATAGGAAATAAAGTGTATCATGACAAATGAAACAACTCAAAGCATAATGCAATAAGAAATAAAATCTTGATATCATTCTTAATCATGAAGTAATTAAAAATTAAGTGCCGAAGGACACAAACATGAAAAATTTAGATAGGAAACCACAAGTCTTGCTGATTCAAAAGTAATTTCCAAAATGTGGCTACATTTACGTTCCAAGTGCTAAAATAAATATTTTAAAATAATCAGTGTTGACAATGCATGTGCCCATCCTATGAGCTTCCACTGAAAAGTTAGCTAAAATGCTACAGACAGTACAGTAGAACCAAGACAGCCTGTATGCTGCTTATTTATGTCTTCTGTGCTTGGAAATAGATTGTTCACTGTTGATTATTCTTAAAGCCTCTGGATTCACCTCTAGAGAGTTTGGACACAGAATTATATACCTGATTATACAAAGCTCTGAAGGTATTCAGTACCTGGGGATTAGATCCATCAAATCCTTCCTCATAAATGATTCTTTGAATGAACTGAAGCAGTTTTTGGTAGCCATGGGTCAGAGAACTGTTGGTAAGAAATGGTTCAAATATATAAAAGGACTTATTATACAGGAAATACAAAATCTATGGTAAAACATTAAGTAAATAACTTATTAAATTACTAAATAAAAAATTAGATGAACCAAAACAGTATTTAATATTTCTAAATATAAAGTCAACACATCCAGGGAACAAGTCACAAATACCTTATATTAAGTAGCTCAGCGTTCTTGACATCATGGGAAGATAAAAATCTGTAGAGACTATGATGACTTAATTATGTCACGCTCAGTTGCCTCCAGAAAATTAATGATTTAATGAAGCAACCTAAAAGATGAAGTCACTATAGCTTTTCAGGAGTAATCATAGATAATTAACACATAGTTAATGAAGTACTATGTCAAGTACACCTGAATCAATGTCCTGATCACCTGAGATCATCTTCCACCAAACTTTTAATTTTCTTACAACAAATTAAAAAAAGAAGAGTAATTTAAAAACTACGTCTTTTAAGACAAATGAAAACATGTGAGTATGATCTCCATTAAATTCACTGTTTATCTCCTTCATTAAAAAAAGACAATAAAGTGTATGGATTTAAAAAGATTACCTATTTTCCACATTAATGCTATGATTTTACAACATTTTACAAATACTGTTAAGTATTTCAAAGAATATATAGCAAGAATGAAGAAAAGCTGCTTTACATGAACTCAATTTAGGATTCTGTATAATGGACAACCTGTGTAGTATGGCTGAACACTTAATATCATGATAATGAGGTTCTGGACAATATGCATTCCATAGGCATTTATGTGCCTAATGCTGTGAAAGCTGTGAGTGAAGTTAAGAACATAAAATTATTTGTTTAATTGTGGTTCTAAGTAGAGCGATCACAGAGTCAGAAGAAATGCTCTAAAGAAAGAATAAAATACAATTTGAAGCCTACATGCAACATTGCTGTTGTTATTGTGCCATGGAGTTGATCCAACTCACAGCGACCCCGTACAGGGTTTCCGAGGCTGTAAATCTTTATGGGATCAGAAAAAGACACCAAAATCTAGGTAATATGGCAGACAGTTTAATGTACAAGATCAACAGTACGTGGTTTAAAAGATGTACATCTCTGTAAACTTTTTATTGAACATTCAGAGCTAGCCTAAAGTACCTATCTAACAAACAAACAAACAAAATAAGAAAATCAAGAGAAAAGAATGCTATTCTATGCAAAACAAATATGGCAACACATAAGGAAGGATTTAAATGGGCAGTATGGTAATTTCTCATATGGTAACTTGGTAACAATGTAGTTCTGGTGTGGCACTGTGGGTTAATGAGCTGGACTGCAAGACAGCTTGAACTGCAAGACTGGTGGTTCAAGCTCATCAGCCACTCCTCCAAAACCCTATACAGGATCTCTATGGATCGGAACCCACTTGACGGCACTTAGCAACAACACCAACTACAACTTGGTTTCTTTCCTTCCTTTTTCCCACTGCTTCAGTAACTCGACTTTTAATGAACAATTTGTTAAATGGACACATTTTTTTCATTTTCCATTGAGAAATGCGTCTATAAATAATAATATTCCTTAAGGACAATGATGTGACTATTTTATATCCTAATGATTATGTTAGTCCTGGCTAGCTCAACTTTCAAAAAAAACACAGTGCTGCTGTTCAAACACAGTAAATTCAATTCCTATATGTGTCAATATGCTTTGCATAGGTGAAAAAATCTGGTCAAATTCTCAGATTACAAAATGATTTCCAGCCAACCATTTGATGAATATCAGTATATGTTAAAGAAGGACAGATCAAGAATATAGACAGAACATCATAATCTACCAATAATATAGCTATCAAAGGACTATCATTTTATATATGCAAAAAGTTTCTTAAGCATTTTCCCTTTGCTCAAAGTTGTTCAATAACAAAATTTGCCTTAATTATTTAGAATTGTTATCTGAGGATGACATATTATTAAATACTACATACATAAATATTCTTAGCTTTTTATTTGCTACCATTTATTCGACCAAAATGATCTAATTTCTTCCATATTCTCGTAGACTGTTAAAATAATTATAGTAGATCTAAGATTTTCCTCTTTCTAACATTTAATACCATTAGTTTTGCTGTGAAAAGTAGTTTTATTTTCATTAACACAAGAAAAATCTACTGGGAGAAAAGGAATCAGATGCAGTTTATCTATGTAAGAATTCAAGTAGATAATAAATAAAAGGTAGTGTCTTAGTGTTGTTATAAAAGAAAACCCACAAATGGATGACTTTAAAAATGAGGAATTTATTTTTTCACCACTTGAGGGGAAGCCTTTCTCTGTCTCTGTCTCTGTCTCCACTGTGGAGGCAGGGCCTTGTCTCTACTGTTTCTGCTTTCCGGTTCTTTGGAGATCTGTGTCTTTTCATCTATTTGATCCCCTCTCTTGTTCTTTAATAGTCTTCTTTTAATCAGATTGACTCAAAAACACATTTTGTACTAAACCTGACTCATTATAACAATTCAGACAACCCATTTCCAAACTGAATTATAATCACAGACACAGAGGTTAGGATTTATATAGCATATTTGGGGGAGACATAATTCAATCTACAATAGGTTATTTCTCAAACGATGAACAAATAGCAGTTACAAAGTCTTTTAATTTGATGAAAGAACAAATTTAACAACATAACACTTAGGTAATTGAAGTCAAGATTTCATTTGTGAAAAGATCCAAACCTCAAACCAAATTTATTGCAGTTGAGTCAATTCTGACACATATGAACCTTACAGAATAGAGTCGAGTTGCCCTATAGGAGTTCCACAACTATATCCTGTGACTGAATCATACTGCCTCACCTTTTTCCCATGGGGGGTGGGCTTGAATTTCTGATTTTTCAGTTAGTAGCCATGCAAGAATTATAACAATAAAATTATGCAAAGATGAACTTCATAGAACTAAGAGGAATACTAGTGGTACAGTGGTTAAAATGCTTAGCTGCTAACAGAAACGTTGGTACTTTGAATTCAGCAGACATTTCATGGGAGAAAGCTGCGGCAGGTCTGCTTGCAAAAAGATTGTTGTCCTTAAGTACCGTCGAGTCAGTACTGACTCAAAGAGATCTTGTATAGGGTCTCTGAGGAGCAGCTGCTGGGTATACACCACCAACCGTGTGATTCAAACCAACTTTGTGGTTCAGTGCTTTATCCTACAGTACCATATTAGGCCTTGGAAACCCGATGATGCAATTCTACTCTATCCTATACAAGGTCACGAAGAGTCAGAAGCAACTCAAATGCAACGAGTATGGGTTAGTTGGTAAATGAAAAGTTTAATCATAGGTAACATACGCTTGCGTTAGTATTGTAACAAAACTATCTGGTATTATTGATGACATCAACAAATAAATAAGTGTCTGGCACACAGCAAATGTTCAAAAATCTTTTGTAACATAGTCAAAACATTTAATGAATACAATAACTCTGTGAGGTAAATATAGTCATTATGCTCACTTACGGTTGATAAAATTAAGCCTCTTTAGAGGCTAAGTTATACTTTATAAAATAATTGATCTGACATATTAAACACTAATGAGCAAAGATTAGACAAATTGTGAAATGACATCAAGTACATCATACGTGAAGAGCAAAGTTTATTAAAAGGAGAAAAAAAGAGCAAAGTGGTTGTCAGAAGAGATGAAACTTACTTGTGAACATAGAATAGCAAAATGAAAAGAAGAAACGATGAAGTAAAAGAGTTGAACAGAAGACTGCAAAATCAGCTCAAAAAGACAAACTAATATAAGGAAATATGCAAAGATCTGAAGTTATAAAACCAAAAGGGAAAAACACACTCAGAATTTCTCAAGCTGAAAGCATAGAAGAAAAAAATTCACTTAATGTAATGTTTCAAGGTTCATCCACGTAGACATATTGACCTGTATTTATTTATTTTTTTAGGTTGAATAACATTCCATTGTATGGATATACCACATTTTGACTCCATCAGTTGATGGAGCTTTGGATTTCTACTTTTTGCCTATTATGAATAATGCTGCTATTAACATTTATGTATATTTTGTGTGGATATATGTTTTCATTTCTCTTGGGTATGTATTTAGGAGTGGAATTGATGTGTTAAAATGATATTCTATGTTTAATCATCTGAGAGACTCTATCAGACTGTTTTCCAAAGCAGTTGCACCATTTTAAATTCCCAACCAGAACAATAGGGTTCTGATTTCTCTATATCATCATAAACACTTGTCATTATTAGACTTTTTTATTATAGCCATCATACAGGGTGTGACATTATAGCCCCCTGTGGTTTTGATTTATATTTCCCTGGTGACCAATAGCATTGCTATCTTTTCAAGTGCTAATTGGCCATTTGTACATCTTGAGTAGTTCTTAGATTCGTAGGCCATTTTTAAATTGGATAAATTGTTTTATTAGTATTATTATTAGGTAATAAAAGTTCTTACACATTCTAGCTATAAGTCCCTTATCAGATATTGTTGCTAGGTGTCCTCGAGTCACTTCTGACTTATAGTGACACTATGACAACAGATGGTCCTGTGTCACCCTCACAATTTTATATTGAAGTCCATTGTTGCTGTCAATCCATCTCATTGGGGGTCTTTCTTCTTTAATTGATCATCCACTTAACTAATTAAGATGCCATTTTCCAGGGACTGGCTTCTCCTAACACGTTCAAACTACTATAAATGAAGGCTCACCATCCTAGCTTCTAAGGATGAGTCCAACTATACTTCTCGCTAAACAGATTTTGTTCTTTGGGAAGTCCATGGTAATTTAAATATTCTTCACCAACAACATAAATCAAATGCACTGATTCTTCTCCAATCTTCCTTAGTCACTGTCCACCATGCATGTGAGGTGAATGAAAATACCACAGTTTGAGTTAGGCATAAACTTTAGTCTTCAAAGTGACATCTTTGTTCTTTAACACTTTAAAGAGGTCTTTTGCAGCAGATTTGCTCAATGCAATGCATCCTTTGAT